CGTGCATGACGCATACACCTAGATATACTGCCCGCAGGTAACACGACTCACTGCGTACCTACCTTGTACACCGGGATACGACTGTATAATACAAACTACATACATAAACGAATTAAGCTTTAGCGGAAACTGAGAACAAATGCCATAATAGCCAAATCATCGGGCATTTTCTAAGTCTTTATGGAGCGACGGCGTTATATGTATAGCTGCAGGACTAAAGGCGTCGGTTAAAATTTGAAAAGAAAAATTAAAATCATCTCTCGATTTACTCAATGTTTCTTTGTCAACTCGTTACTAAGTTTTCCATTTAAACTTTGTAAAATTAAGGAAATATCTTTATCTTGAAATCAAAGCTTTATACCCAAAGTTTTGACAAACTCGATCTAAATCCGATAAAGTAAGTCTTCAACAAAGTTCGGGCTTTGAGAGGAATTGTAGGAAATTATTTGTAGAAGACTTTTATACAGTTCTCAAAGGTTCTATAAGCCGAATTTTGGATCCTTTCCAAGAATAATGAGCTATTTTCTTTTTATACTTTTATTTTCTTGAATCTATTTACAAAAAAAAAGAAACATACGGAAATGGTGGTGACCATTATACATATAACTTGAACGTCATACGTACTTAGTCAATGTTCACTTAAAAACTGCCGAATGTTTCGCTTCCGAAATCCTTGTAACGACAGTATACCTGTTGGGTGCATAATTTGTCAAAACATGATCGCTTAAAAAGTAAATTACGAAATGTTTTATTGATACCGATTATTACCGACCAAAGAACTTTTTAAGATAATTTAATGATAATCTTATCACTATCACTAACATACTTTGTTAATAATAACTAACATGACTGAACACCATAATTAAAATAGGAAACGTGTATTAGTTATCAGTGTAAGTAGCGTATGACGGGCGCTCTGTTTGCAGACCATCAAAATTTTGCAGTAATAGGCACCGGAAGCTGCAGCCGTTGCGGCAGACGTGACTGGCGCGCCGAGCGGGAGCGCCGCCCCGCCCGCCCCGGCCGCATGCCGCCCCGCTGACTCCGCAGCCCCAGCCCAGCCAGCCCAGCCAGACACACACACCGCATACACACCGCGATCACACACACACCATCACCACCGCTTTATTTTAACCCGGTCAGTACCCATCTGTCTCTCTCTCTCTCTTACTCCTCTAAGCCCCTGATACGAAATACAAAAAGATTATTAGCAAAAGAAATCATCTTGTTGACTTATCATTAATGATTTCCAGAAGACATCGCGCAGACCATTCTCCCGGCGTAGCATCTGGCTGTAGCCAGCAGTCACCATGGGGTCGGTGAACGTAAACCGGAATGTGGCGGATGCCTTCTACCGGTACAAGATGCCTCGTATCTGCGCCAAGGTCGAGGGCAAGGGCAACGGTATCAAGACTGTCATCGTCAACATGCCTGAAGTGGCTAAGGCACTCGGAAGACCTGCCACTTGTAAGTACAAATAATAAGCGTAACTGCAAGGTCAATTGTCGGAACCACAGCAATCTGAAATCCAATTGTGCCATTACAGATCCAACAAAGTACTTCGGTTGCGAACTGGGTGCGCAGACTCAGTTTGATTTTAAGAACGAGCGATTCATCGTTAATGGCAGCCACGATTCGGCCAAGCTGCAAGATTTGCTAGACGGGTAAATAATCTAACTAATCAATTTTGAAAGATACATGACCTACCAGAAATTTCTAACTACATGAAGTCAGTTTCGTCAGAAAAAAGATAGACAGGTTGATTTTGTGTTAAAAAAAATGCTTATTGGAAAACCATTGTTTCTCCCTTTCACCATCGTAGGTGGGGAATGTCATTAAACCACAAAGCTTGAGTAACTGCAAATTTAGCATTTTGGGCTCCTCTACTATAAATTATAGTACCCGAAGGTATAAATATGTATAATCATTATTAACTGCAGGTTCATCCGTAAATTCGTGCTGTGTCCCGAGTGTGACAACCCCGAGACGGAACTGATCGTATCGACGAAGCGTAATACAATCTCGCAGGGGTGCAAGGCGTGTGGATACCACGGCACGCTGGACTTCAACCACAAGCTGAACACCTTCATCCTGAAGAACCCACCCGCGCTAGACCCTAGCTTGCAGGTATACCAGCAGGTACTAACAACACTGCTGGGCACACTCTAACCCTTCCTAGGCCCTCATCCACACCATGTGTCCATACCCATTAAACATGCATTGAACATTTAATCGCCTTAGGACCTTTCTCATATCCTCTCATTATATTGATGCAATACGTGCAGTGTACTCACTACCAAGTACTGCTTGCAGGGCTCGTCGCTGACGGAAGGTAACCGCGGCAAGCGCTCTAAGCGCTCGGGTCCCGGCGCTGCCAACGGGAACCATGACGGACATGACGACGCTAAGAACGTATGTATACCACAATTCCATTATATTATATGTAAATCATTAAAATAGAAAAAAATGCCTACATAATATGTAATGTTTTTAATATAGCAAGAGAATGAGACCCCTGCGACTCCTACAACACCTAACCCGAAGTCCAGCAAGAAGGAGAAAGAAAAGGAAGCTGCGGATGATGATGACGACGGCTGTTGGACTGTCGACGTCAGTGAGGCTGCAGTACGCGCGCGTATGCAAGGTAATTGCACATATACACGAGTATTATTATTACCAAGATTCCGGATTTACAGGATTCCAGACCTTCAGAAAGCGTATGAGGGGCCGAAACATGGGACAATTAATAACTGGCAATTATCCTTGTACGCACTATAAAAGTGCCCCTAAGCAATCCCCGGGTAATCCCCGGTTGATGCCTATTCTGTAATATGGTAGAAAGTTATATGGTTATGGGTGTGGGTGCGGCGTCACGACACGCTGGTGCTAGCCAACGGGAGGTCGCATCAGGCGGCGGCCGACCTGATGTCACAAGCGGTTGCGATAATCGTTGCGAGGATCCGGCAGTTGGGACTCGAGGTAACGCTCCACAACTCCGAGGCCATGTGCTTTTATGGCCGTCGGAACGCGCCATCTCCAGATGGATCCCAAATAACGGCAGGAGGGGTTATCATCGGCGTCGAGTCGGCGATGAAGTCCCTGGGTCTTGTCCTCGACAGCCGTTGGAACTTCACGGAGAATTTCCGTTGTTAGGCTTCCAAGTTGGAACTGACTAGGGCCGCGCTGAAGCGGCTCCTTCCCAACCTGGGGGCCAAACGCATCCTACCGGAGGTTGTACATTCAGTCAACAAAGTATCGGGAATGAATGTTTTTTTTATGGTTCCAAATTCGATTTTTTTTTTTTTGTTGTTGTTAGATTGGCATAACTGTTTTCCATTTTGGCGCGGAATTTGAGTTGCATCTGTTATTTATATTAAAAACAGTGCTGTTTTTAGTTTTATAATATCTAGTGTGTATTGCGAATTTCATAATGGACAAAAACATCGAACAAAGAGTTTGTCTTAAATTTTGCATCGCCAATGAAATTTCGTGTTCGGAGGCACTCAAAATGTTACAAAAGGCTTACGGTGAATCGACTTTATCAAAAACACGTACTTATGAGTGGTACAAAGCGTTAAAAAGCGGTCGAGATGTGATGGAAGATTTGCCTCGTTCTGGTAGGCCATCAACGTCTGCAACTGAAGTTAACATCGCAAAAGTGAAGGAAATAGTGACTGAAAATCCTCATTCAAGTTTGAGAGAGATGGCCGCCAAACTTTCTGTATCTCACGAGTCGATCCGTACCATTTTAACAAATAATTTGGGTATGAAACGTGTTGCCGCTCGGCTAGTCCCAAAAGACCTGAATTTTCTTCAAAAACTAAATCGCATGTGTGGTGTGAGTATATGCATGTTAGTGTGTAAGTATGTGTAAGATTATAGTAAGCATCATTATTGTGGAAAGTACTCAGTAATAAATGGATCGTGACGCTAAACAGTAGTTTGTCATTTGACACCCCTTAGTCCCGAGATACTACATGGCGACCCTGCCAGTGCGCGTTAAATAATAACTATGGGGAAACAATGCTCGAAATGTGCCTGTGAGAACAAAGAAGTTATCATAAATCAACACGGTGGTGGAGAAGCAAGTGCGACTGCTGATGCGTCCACGCACTTACAGACCAACAATATTATATTTTCTGTTTTCCTGGCAATCGTTGCTGCGTTTATTCTGTACATACTATTCAAGCAGTACAGAAACTGTCGCTTGGCTATGGTGCAGAACCAGCTCAGAGAGGATGCATTCCGGCGGATCAGGATGAGGCTGTCTGGAGCACGGAGGAGTCAGAACGAGAGAGACGGTGATCAGGAAGCAGGACCTCGGGACATGTAATGACTTCGACTTCGGTTCGCATCAATTTTTTTTCTCTTTCTATTGTTTCTTTAGTAGTAATTAAGTCACATGTTCGACTACGTATATATTTTAGTTTTAAATGTGTTAAGTTAGAAATGTAATAAGCATCTAAACATTTTACAGTTATCAGATGGCTAATGATTTAATATCTATCTTAAACGAACTTGAAAAGATAAAGGTATCTTTAAGAAAGTTGGGTCCCAGTAAGCGGGAACTGAATGTTAATTACATTAAAAGAAAATTTTTAGATGCAGAAAAATTATATAGTGAAAATAAAACTCTTTGTAAGTTAATTTTAGAGGAAAAGTTGTTTACTAAAGAATTTACGGAGATATTTTTCTTAGATATAATAAGTAGGATAGAAGATACATTTAGCAAAATAAAAACTTATTGTGTAAGTTCCGAACAGACTACTAAAATGGAGAAATTTAATTTGAAAACTGCCGCTAGTTTAGTGCCGGTTATGGACAGTACAGAGGAAAGCGTTGAAAAAATTATCGATAGCGTAGAACTATATGATTGTTGTCTCACGGAGACCAGTTGCAAAAAATTACTTGCTTCTTTTGTATTAAAAACTAGGTTAACTAAAACCGCCAAACTTAAACTTAAGCGAGATTACGATTCTTGCACGGATTTGATTAAGGATATGAAGTTGTTTTTATTAACAAAGAAATCTTCTAATTCTTTAATGACTCAACTAAATAGTATACGCCAAAATGACTTGTCAATTGCGGATTTTGGTTCTAAGCTCGAAGAACTCTTTACTGATTTAACTATATCGCAAGCTAAATCGAATAATGAAGCGTTTGAAATTTTACGACCTATTAATGAGGAACTGGCAGTTAAGAAATTTGCCGACGGGTTACGTAACAGGAGGTTAAGCACTATTATTGCAGCACGCAATTACACCGACCTGAAGGACGCGGTGCGAGCAGCCCTGGACGAGGAGTTATCTCAACCCCAACCAACGACCTCAAACTCGATCCTAAATATTCGAGGTAAGTCACATACATTACAATTGCGTGGCCGGGGAAATTATCATTTTAGATCCCAATCGGGTTTTCGCGGTAATTTCAGCCAGAATAGAGGTAACAATAATTCTTATGCTAACAGGAATCGTACATTTCAGTACAATAATTTCGCATTTCGTGGAAGACAATCTCGTGGTTTTCGCACGCGACCAAATCGCGGTCGAGTTGTTTACAATAGTAGAGGCCAACAACAAATAAACGTTGCAAAAACGGATACAACTAAATCTGAGGGTACGGAAGGTTCGACTGATAATCAGGAAAATAATAATAATCAGTTTTTTCGATCCCAACAGTCCTAATATTTTAACATGTGACGTAAGCAGTGCTAATTATGTAACATTATATTTAAACGAGAACAGGTGTTCGTGGCTTTTAGATACGGGTGCGACCTTATCAGCCGTGAGTAGCTCTGTATTAGGAGATCAATTACATGTTTATGAAGATAGGATTACTATAAACGGGATAGGCGGAAAGTGTTCTTCAAAAGGTTATGTTTATCTTACTTTAAGAACTGTTGACAATTTTACTTTCCAACATAAGTTTTATGTATTTGAAAAATTACCTTGTAAGTCAGAAGGTATTTTGGGACAAGATTTCTTAGATCAATTTAGTTCAATTACTTTTGACTTAGAAAAATCTTTATTAAAACTCACTGTTGGTGACAAAAAAATATTTTTGCCGTTATATAGAATACCTCAAATAAGTAATTCATCGTTACATATACCAGCTCGTTGCGAATCTATTCATTATATAAAATTAGATTCAGATATAACACAAGACTGTGTTATACTACCAAAACAATTACATACAGATGTATTATTGGCAAGCTTAATAGTTAGACCTCAAAATAAAATTATTCCTATTCGAATACTTAATTCTAGCGATAAAAATATTACTTTACCTATTTTTAAACCAGAGTTAGATTTGCTAAGCAACTATGAAATTTGCGCATTTGAGAAATGTGAGTCCGGTTCCCAGCGCGCTAAGTTATTGTTATCGTTATTGAAATTGGATCATTTAGATTCTACGGAAAGACAAACAATAGAATCCATTTGTGTAAAGTACGCCGATGTATTCCAATTACCATGGGAAAAATTAACTACTACACCGATATGTGAACAGTCTATCGCCTTGAAACCTGATTCTAAACCTATTTATACTAAACCTTATCGTATACCTTTTAGTCAGAAAACTGAAGTTGAAAAGCAAATCAAAAAAATGTTACAAGATGATATTATTGAAAAATCGCAAAGTGAATGGTCTAGTCCTATTCTTTTAGTTCCCAAAAAGACAGATGGTGAGAACAAAAGTTGGAGGTTGGTTGTGGATTATCGTAAGCTAAATTCAACTATACAGGACGATAAGTTTCCACTTCCAAATATTACCGAAATATTGGACTCGCTATCAGGTGCTGTTTACTACACACATTTAGATTTATCTCAAAGTTATTATCAGGTGCGACTAACGTCAAAAGATGATAGTCGTAAAATTACAGCATTTACGACTAATACTGGCCAATACCAAATGAAAAGACTACCTATGGGTTTGAAAATAAGCCCTAGTGCTTTTTCACGGGTCATGACTGTTGCAATGTCCGGCCTTACGTTTGATAAATGTATTATTTATTGCGATGACCTTGTTGTTTTTGGACGTAATATATCACAACATAATAAAAACTTAATTGATGTCCTTGAGAGGTTAAGATTAGTCAATTTGAAATTAAACCCCAACAAGTGTCAATTTTTAAAAACGGAAATGTTATATCTCGGTCATACGATATCTAAGGATGGTGTTTTGCCAGATCCTGATAAAATTAGAGTAATTAAAAATTATCCTTTGCCAAAAAATTCTGACGAAGTTAGGCGATTTGTAGCATTTAGTAATTACTATAGAAAGTTCATTAAAAATTTTGCGGAGATAACAGAGCCACTAAATAAACTTTGTCGGAAGAATGTACCCTTTGTATGGACTGAAAATTGTGATCAGTCATTTCAATTTCTAAAACAAGCTTTATCATCGCCGCCTATACTTCAATATCCAGACTTTTCACCTAACAGCGAATTTATTTTGCAAACTGACGCCTCAGGTATTGCGATAAGTGCAATTCTTTGTAATAAAGATTTGCGCCCAGTAGCTTACGCAAGTCGACCATTAAATAAATCGGAACGTAATTACCCTACTATCCAAAAGGAACTTCTAGCTATCGTTTGGGGTGTAAAATACTTTCGCCCATATTTGTTTGGAAAATCATTTACGATAATGACAGACCACAAACCGTTAGTATATTTATTTGGAATTAAAGATCCTAGTAGTAGACTTTTAAAATTTCGATTGGCTCTTGATGAATACGATTACAAGATAGTTTATGTGCAAGGTAAAAATAATCCTGCAGCGGACGCGTTATCTCGAATAGTAATTACGTCAGAGGATTTGAAAGCGATGAATGAACAAATTATGACTGTTATGACGCGAGCACAAAAGAGGAGAATGGAAGAAAGTGATAGGATTGATATTGGATCCCCCAATGTATGCACAGACGAGCGGCCTGCGCACCCGCAAGTCGTGGAGATATTGAGGATTCCAAATAACTCTGTGGAAATGTTATTAATAGAAGGAGAAAAGTTAAGAAAAATGAGAGATAAACGACTAATTGATGTTGAATGGAAATGTTTTGCATTTAATTCAAAATGTAAGAAAATATACATAAACCTCGATTACAAAAACAATTTCACGCGAGACGTATTTGTGCTGTATTTGAGTGATTTTTGTAAGGATATAAACGTCGACGAAATATGTATTATTAAAAATGAAAGTAATGAAATGTTTATAAAAGACGTCATAAATGAAGTTAAAAATAATGAAAATTACCTAGGCCCTAGGATATGCATTTTAAGAGGTGTTACGAGAATTGATAAGAATGAAGATAAGGAGTTTATTTTAAACGATTTTCATCTACTGCCCACTAGCGGTCACGCAGGGGTACGTAGAATGATAAACAATATAAAAAAATGCTTTTACTGGCCAGGACTAGAGAAAGATGTCCAAAACTATGTTCGAAAATGCCAGAGCTGTCAAAAAATGAAGCACTCAAGGCATACAGTTGAGCCATTGGAAATTACAACTACGGCCACAACTGCCTTTGAAAGAATTTTCTTAGACATAGTTGGTCCTTTAGATAGAGACTTAGACGGGAATGGTTACATTCTCACATTACAGTGCGATTTAAGTAAATTCGTAGAGGCTTATCCTTTACCTAATAAAGAAACTATTACTGTAGCTAAGGCCCTAGTTAATAATTTTATTTTAAGGTTCGGTATACCAAAATGCATTGTCACTGATAGAGGTCAAGAATTTTTATCGTCAACTATGGCAGATGTTTGTAAATTACTCGAAATCGAAAAATTACATAGCACTTCATACCATCATCAAACTTTAGGCTCGATTGAAAATACGCATAAACATTTAGGAGCTTTTCTTCGCATTCAGTGTGATAAGCACCCGGTGGCATGGAGCTACTGGCTCCCCTACTGGTGTTTTTCGTACAATAATACTGTCCATATATCCACTAAATATGCGCCGTATGAATTAGTATTTGGAAAACATTGTGTAATTCCTAGTAGACTAAGTAATAGAGTTGAACCATTGTATAACATAGATAATTACTGTTTAGAATTAAGGTATAGATTACAAGTTGCGCAAAAAGACGCTCGTGAAAATTTGTTATCAGTGAAACAAAACAGAAAAAGTGTGTACGACCAAAAAGTGAACTCAGTGAAATATAATCCATCCGATTTATTATTAGTGAAAAGTGAAACCGGGACTAAGTTACAAGTACTGTATGATGGACCTTATTTAGTATTAGAGGATATTGGACCAAATGTTGTTATATTGAAAAACAATAAACGAGAAATTATTCATAAGAATAGAACTAAGCCGTTTGTAACTAATATTAAGTAGTGTATAGAATTTCTGCGCGCAGTACATTCTTTTCAGTAGATTGTTAGTTTTATTATTAAACTACATGGTTTTGTTTATTCTATATAGTTATAAAAAAAAAAACATTTTGTTTACCAAAAAATTTTTTTTTTTTTTCAAATCAACCCCTGTAATGTGGTGTGAGTATATGCATGTTAGTGTGTAAGTATGTGTAAGATTATAGTAAGCATCATTATTGTGGAAAGTACTCAGTAATAAATGGATCGTGACGCTAAACAGTAGTTTGTCATTTGACACCCCTTAGTCCCGAGATACTACAGTAAAGTCGCTGAGGACATGCTAGAACGAGTCAATACCGACCCAACATTCATGAAACGCATTGTTACTGGTGACGAGACGTGGGTTTACGAGTTTGACATGCAAACTAGTCAACAAGCTTCGGAATGGCGCCTTCCAACTGAACCAAAACCGAAAACCACGTCAAAGTCGATCAAAAGTCAAAGTCATGTTGACTGTTTTCTTTGACTATCGCGGTGTTGTGCACTCAGAATTCTTGCCCGAAGGTCAAACGGTAAATAAAGAATATTATTTGAGCGTTATGCGGCGTTTAAGAGAACAAATTCGACGAAAAAGGCAGAAATGTGGAAAGAAAATTCTTGGATTTTGCATCACGATAATGCGCCTTCGCACAAGGCCATCATTGTAAACGATTTTTTGTCGAAACACTCAACAAACACCATCGAGCAGCCACCATATTCACCAGATATGGCTCCAGCCGACTTCTTTCTTTTTCCCACACTCAAATTACCCCTTCGTGGCACCCGTTTTCAATCGTTAGAAGACATAAAGGAGATTTCGCGGCGAGCACTGAACTCAATTCCGGAAACAGCGTTTAAAACAAGTTATGATGATTGGATTATTCGTTGGCGTAAGTGTATCGTTTCTGAAGGAGCATACTTTGAAGGTGATAAAATAAATTTAGATGAATAACAAACATTTTGTGTATTATTGACTTTTTCCCGGTACTTTCTTGACAGAGTAGTATATGAGGATCGTGCGATCCAAGGCTTTATACAGGGCCCTTGTGTGGGCGCCGGACTTAAGGTGCCGGCCAGCTCGTACGCTTGTGGCGTCCCAGAGGGTCATGGCTATTCGGATAATCCGCGGATATCGCACGATCTCCGGTGAGGCGGCGAACCTTTTTGCCGGATCACCGCCGTGAGATCTGGAGGCGAAGACGCTTGCGCGCCGTCTACAGTTTGCGCGCAGACGCGCGTTGCCGGGTCGAGGATTCTCTGCCGCGCCAAATCAGTGCTAGGCGGAATGAGCTCCGGCGAGATCTCATGGCTGAGTGGGCTTAGTTAGTAAGAGTCTGACACTCTCTCTCGCCTTACCGTGGCCGGGAGAAGTCATTTCAATATTTTGTCCGGACAAAAAAATGGCCCTCTGTCCTTGACCAATATTAATACATAATTATATTGTTTTGTGTAAAATTTCCACGTTATTATTTATGGGTGAATTGATCACGTTATAGACTTGACTGAGGGTGCCAAGAGCATGACGGTGTCCGAAGACAGCGAGAAGAACGAGAAGCAGCGTATGGACATATTCTACTCGTATCTTAAGCAGCGAGCCGACTCCGGGGACGTGGACTCGAACCGCGCCATCACCGAGATCCTACACGAGGCCGAACGGTGAGCTGTCGCGACTAGCAGTGGGGCAGACGTGCGAGGGTGCGGAGAGTTTACGAGTGGTGTGTGTGCAGGCTGGAGGTGAAGTCGAAGGCGCCGCTGGTGATGCTCGAGGTGCTGGTGCGCGCCGGCAGCGTCGCCGCCGACGTGCGGCGACACCGCGCCCTGCTGCTGCGGCTGGCGCGCGCCGAGCCCCGCGCGCAGCGCGCCGTGCTGCACGCGCTCACCGCGCTCGTCGCGCACAACCCCGACCTGCTGCCCAAGGTGCCCGCCATACTCAAGGTACGCCCGGTTACATCCTGCTGCTGCGGCTGGCGCGCGCCGAGCCCCGCGCGCAGCGCGCCGTGCTGCACGCGCTCACCGCGCTCGTCGCGCACAACCCCGACCTGCTGCCCAAGGTGCCCGCCATACTCAAGGTACGCCCGGTTACATCCTGCTGCTGCGGCTGGCGCGCGCCGAGCCCCGCGCCGTGCTGCACGCGCTCACCGCGCTCGTCGCGCACAACCCCGACCTGCTGCCCAAGGTGCCCGCCATACTCAAGGTACGCCCGGTTACATCCTGCTGCTGCGGCTGGCGCGCGCCGAGCCCCGCGCGCAGCGCGCCGTGCTGCACGCGCTCACCGCGCTCGTCGCGCACAACCCCGACCTGCTGCCCAAGGTGCCCGCCATACTCAAGGTACGCCCGGTTACATCCTGCTGCTGCGGCTGGCGCGCGCCGAGCCCCGCGCGCAGCGCGCCGTGCTGCACGCGCTCACCGCGCTCGTCGCGCACAACCCCGACCTGCTGCCCAAGGTGCCCGCCATACTCAAGGTACGCCCGGTTACATCCTGCTGCTGCGGCTGGCGCGCGCCGAGCCCCGCGCGCAGCGCGCCGTGCTGCACGCGCTCACCGCGCTCGTCGCGCACAACCCCGACCTGCTGCCCAAGGTGCCCGCCATACTCAAGGTACGCCCGGTTACATCCTGCTGCTGCGGCTGGCGCGCGCCGAGCCCCGCGCGCAGCGCGCCGTGCTGCACGCGCTCACCGCGCTCGTCGCGCACAACCCCGACCTGCTGCCCAAGGTGCCCGCCATACTCAAGGTACGCCCGGTTACATCCTGCTGCTGCGGCTGGCGCGCGCCGAGCCCCGCGCGCAGCGCGCCGTGCTGCACGCGCTCACCGCGCTCGTCGCGCACAACCCCGACCTGCTGCCCAAGGTGCCCGCCATACTCAAGGTACGCCCGGTTACATCCTGCTGCTGCGGCTGGCGCGCGCCGAGCCCCGCGCGCAGCGCGCCGTGCTGCACGCGCTCACCGCGCTCGTCGCGCACAACCCCGACCTGCTGCCCAAGGTGCCCGCCATACTCAAGGTACGCCCGGTTACATCCTGCTGCTGCGGCTGGCGCGCGCCGAGCCCCGCGCGCAGCGCGCCGTGCTGCACGCGCTCACCGCGCTCGTCGCGCACAACCCCGACCTGCTGCCCAAGGTGCCCGCCATACTCAAGGTACGCCCGGTTACATCCTGCTGCTGCGGCTGGCGCGCGCCGAGCCCCGCGCGCAGCGCGCCGTGCTGCACGCGCTCACCGCGCTCGTCGCGCACAACCCCGACCTGCTGCCCAAGGTGCCCGCCATACTCAAGGTACGCCCGGTTACATCCTGCTGCTGCGGCTGGCGCGCGCCGAGCCCCGCGCGCAGCGCGCCGTGCTGCACGCGCTCACCGCGCTCGTCGCGCACAACCCCGACCTGCTGCCCAAGGTGCCCGCCATACTCAAGGTACGCCCGGTTACATCCTGCTGCTGCGGCTGGCGCGCGCCGAGCCCCGCGCGCAGCGCGCCGTGCTGCACGCGCTCACCGCGCTCGTCGCGCACAACCCCGACCTGCTGCCCAAGGTGCCCGCCATACTCAAGGTACGCCCGGTTACATCCTGCTGCTGCGGCTGGCGCGCGCCGAGCCCCGCGCGCAGCGCGCCGTGCTGCACGCGCTCACCGCGCTCGTCGCGCACAACCCCGACCTGCTGCCCAAGGTGCCCGCCATACTCAAGGTACGCCCGGTTACATCCTGCTGCTGCGGCTGGCGCGCGCCGAGCCCCGCGCCGTGCTGCACGCGCTCACCGCGCTCGTCGCGCACAACCCCGACCTGCTGCCCAAGGTGCCCGCCATACTCAAGGTACGCCCGGTTACATCCTGCTGCTGCGGCTGGCGCGCGCCGAGCCCCGCGCCGTGCTGCACGCGCTCACCGCGCTCGTCGCGCACAACCCCGACCTGCTGCCCAAGGTGCCCGCCATACTCAAGGTACGCCCGGTTACATCCTGCTGCTGCGGCTGGCGCGCGCCGAGCCCCGCGCCGTGCTGCACGCGCTCACCGCGCTCGTCGCGCACAACCCCGACCTGCTGCCCAAGGTGCCCGCCATACTCAAGGTACGCCCGGTTACATCCTGCTGCTGCGGCTGGCGCGCGCCGAGCCCCGCGCCGTGCTGCACGCGCTCACCGCGCTCGTCGCGCACAACCCCGACCTGCTGCCCAAGGTGCCCGCCATACTCAAGGTACGCCCGGTTACATCCTGCTGCTGCGGCTGGCGCGCGCCGAGCCCCGCGCGCAGCGCGCCGTGCTGCACGCGCTCACCGCGCTCGTCGCGCACAACCCCGACCTGCTGCCCAAGGTGCCCGCCATACTCAAGGTACGCCCGGTTACATCCTGCTGCTGCGGCTGGCGCGCGCCGAGCCCCGCGCGCAGCGCGCCGTGCTGCACGCGCTCACCGCGCTCGTCGCGCACAACCCCGACCTGCTGCCCAAGGTGCCCGCCATACTCAAGGTACGCCCGGTTACATCCTGCTGCTGCGGCTGGCGCGCGCCGAGCCCCGCGCCGTGCTGCACGCGCTCACCGCGCTCGTCGCGCACAACCCCGACCTGCTGCCCAAGGTGCCCGCCATACTCAAGGTACGCCCGGTTACATCCTGCTGCTGCGGCTGGCGCGCGCCGAGCCCCGCGCGCAGCGCGCCGTGCTGCACGCGCTCACCGCGCTCGTCGCGCACAACCCCGACCTGCTGCCCAAGGTGCCCGCCATACTCAAGGTACGCCCGGTTACATCCTGCTGCTGCGGCTGGCGCGCGCCGAGCCCCGCGCCGTGCTGCACGCGCTCACCGCGCTCGTCGCGCACAACCCCGACCTGCTGCCCAAGGTGCCCGCCATACTCAAGGTACGCCCGGTTACATCCTGCTGCTGCGGCTGGCGCGCGCCGAGCCCCGCGCCGTGCTGCACGCGCTCACCGCGCTCGTCGCGCACAACCCCGACCTGCTGCCCAAGGTGCCCGCCATACTCAAGGTACGCCCGGTTACATCCTGCTGCTGCGGCTGGCGCGCGCCGAGCCCCGCGCGCAGCGCGCCGTGCTGCACGCGCTCACCGCGCTCGTCGCGCACAACCCCGACCTGCTGCCCAAGGTGCCCGCCATACTCAAGGTACGCCCGGTTACATCCTGCTGCTGCGGCTGGCGCGCGCCGAGCCCCGCGCGCAGCGCGCCGTGCTGCACGCGCTCACCGCGCTCGTCGCGCACAACCCCGACCTGCTGCCCAAGGTGCCCGCCATACTCAAGGTACGCCCGGTTACATCCTGCTGCTGCGGCTGGCGCGCGCCGAGCCCCGCGCCGTGCTGCACGCGCTCACCGCGCTCGTCGCGCACAACCCCGACCTGCTGCCCAAGGTGCCCGCCATACTCAAGGTACGCCCGGTTACATCCTGCTGCTGCGGCTGGCGCGCGCCGAGCCCCGCGCCGTGCTGCACGCGCTCACCGCGCTCGTCGCGCACAACCCCGACCTGCTGCCCAAGGTGCCCGCCATACTCAAGGTACGCCCGGTTACATCCTGCTGCTGCGGCTGGCGCGCGCCGAGCCCCGCGCGCAGCGCGCCGTGCTGCACGCGCTCACCGCGCTCGTCGCGCACAACCCCGACCTGCTGCCCAAGGTGCCCGCCATACTCAAGGTACGCCCGGTTACATCCTGCTGCTGCGGCTGGCGCGCGCCGAGCCCCGCGCGCAGCGCGCCGTGCTGCACGCGCTCACCGCGCTCGTCGCGCACAACCCCGACCTGCTGCCCAAGGTGCCCGCCATACTCAAGGTACGCCCGGTTACATCCTGCTGCTGCGGCTGGCGCGCGCCGAGCCCCGCGCGCAGCGCGCCGTGCTGCACGCGCTCACCGCGCTCGTCGCGCACAACCCCGACCTGCTGCCCAAGGTGCCCGCCATACTCAAGGTACGCCCGGTTACATCCTGCTGCTGCGGCTGGCGCGCGCCGAGCCCCGCGCGCAGCGCGCCGTGCTGCACGCGCTCACCGCGCTCGTCGCGCACAACCCCGACCTGCTGCCCAAGGTGCCCGCCATACTCAAGGTACGCCCGGTTACATCCTGCTGCTGCGGCTGGCGCGCGCCGAGCCCCGCGCGCAGCGCGCCGTGCTGCACGCGCTCACCGCGCTCGTCGCGCACAACCCCGACCTGCTGCCCAAGGTGCCCGCCATACTCAAGGTACGCCCGGTTACATCCTGCTGCTGCGGCTGGCGCGCGCCGAGCCCCGCGCCGTGCTGCACGCGCTCACCGCGCTCGTCGCGCACAACCCCGACCTGCTGCCCAAGGTGCCCGCCATACTCAAGGTACGCCCGGTTACATCCTGCTGCTGCGGCTGGCGCGCGCCGAGCCCCGCGCCGTGCTGCACGCGCTCACCGCGCTCGTCGCGCACAACCCCGACCTGCTGCCCAAGGTGCCCGCCATACTCAAGGTACGCCCGGTTACATCCTGCTGCTGCGGCTGGCGCCAGAAAGACGGTACTTCCAGAAACCTCACTCACAAAGCAAAACACAACGCTGATGTTTCACGCGAGATTTTGTGCGAGGCCGTAATATCACTCCGGCCGCACCAACACATCGTGCTACAACATGGTTTGGGCTTTCTTATGTTATTTATTATTTAATTATTTTTGTTAATCTGACTACATACTCTGTTAATCTTTCAGAAATGAATTTACTATTTAATTACGTTGAGCAAACATTTCAACACACAGATTTTTCACATCGACTACACAGTTGACACAGTGGCTGGACAACGAACTACTGTCACGGGTTCAATTCCCGTACAGAATAACAAATTGTTATTGCGGGACTGTGTATATGTACGCACTCACGACACAAGAAAATTGTAATGCGGGACAGCGATTGTTTAACGCAAAAAAAAAATTGTATACTATAGTCAGACTTTTAATTCGATTCCTGATTTGACACATTTGACATTGACCAGTGACATTTTGTGAAATAATGATACCAAATATAACAGTGTAGTGATGAACACAAAAATCGATAAACAATCAGTGAATCAGTTTCAGGAAGGCATTCAAAAAATTACGGCTACCGAATGGTCTAAATGTGTATCCCATGTTTTCAAAGAAGAGGAAAAAATGAGTAAGCTAGATATGTAAATTGACAATAAATATCACAGACACAATTCATAATAAATACATTTAGTATTTACATAAAGTAACAGCGATAGCGATCGCGATGACGGTGACAATTTATAAAATGTCTGTTTTATTTGTCACGTTCCTTCATGATCACATTTCTTATTAATTTCACACACAATTACAAAAGAAAAGTCTCAGTTCGTTAATTAATTCTCAAAACTAAATTATCGGTTCAAAAATATTATATACCCTGATAAACTTAGTTTACGAGAGTAAATTTATAAACGAGAGGAATCGATTCAGAAATATTCGATTTCCATATCGAATAATTTCGCAACGTCACTATTTATTACGTGTCATAACGTTGCAACACCGAAATTGTCAAATCTGGAATGGAATTAAAATTCCGAGTATAGTCATACGTTGCAATTTTATAAAAAAATATATCATTATAAATACAAATAAAATTATTGAAAACTAGCGGCGCGCCCCCGCTTCGCCCGGGTCCAACTCTCGCTAAAAGGGTCACTTTTCCCAATTTTCCCCTCGACATTTCTTAAATTACCTTTGATAAGCACATTCTTCTAACAATAATAAATACAACAAAAAAACATTTGACAAAATTGGGCCAGGCGTTCTTGAGTTATGCCCTTACCAACACATTTTGCCATCCATTTTTATATATAAGGAATAAATCACACTTAGAATAATTACATCTAGAACTATAGTTCTCTTCAAAACGGTCTGTCAAAATTGAAGCAAGATTCAAATGTATGTATGCATTGATGTATTGACGGTTGACGGTTATTATTCTAATAAATCACTGAATTATAAACGTGGTTTCTTCGAGTCTTAATGTCCCTCTCGTCTCACCCATAAGGGTAAGAATCCATTTAATTTTCCGCCCTCAAAAAACACACAACATAAGTACTCATACTTCTGATAGAACCATTTTGTCTACAGCTGCTATATGACGAAGACATCGTGGAAGAAAAGGCCATCCTGGAATGGGCCGCGAAGCCGTCCCGCAAGTACGCCAGCAAGGAAGTGATTGCCGAAATAAGGCGCCGCGCCACGCCCTTCCTCGAGTGGCTGCAGCAGGCCGAGGAGGACTCCAGCGACGGAGACGACTCCGAGCATGACATCGAGGTTCGTTACACGGACATTTCTATACTAAAACTAGCGGTCGCCCGTAACTCCGCCCGCGCGGATATTTTTCCTGAATTTTCTTATCTATAAACCTCACTGAGCCCGAGACCTTTGCAACGAATGCAAAACCGTGGGAATCGGTTCGTGCTTTCTGGAGTTATAGCGTCAGGAAGGAAACCCAAACACATTCACCTAAAATCACACAACTTGACTGAAATAATAAATTTAAAAAAATTGCAGATTGAATACGACGACCGTGCGAAGGTGACCCCCATCAAGGCGGTGTCGGCCGCGCCCGCCAAGCCCGCTAAGCCCCAGGACGACGATGACGTCGACGTGGACATCGACGCCATCTAGATGGTCCGCGTCACGTCGCGCGCCGCCACATGCTCGAGCCTGCTTCGCGACTCGAACACGTTAATATCATTCCTCACGCGCTACATCTATGTCTTCGCCGTAATCTAGTTTTATAATGCAACAATATCTCTAAGAAATGTTTCTCTCGTTCTGTCCCTTTACGGTACGACGCTGGCGTCTGCTTACTATATATTTTCTGCCTAGATGAATTAATACCCCGCTAGAAACTTCTCTAAATTTCTATTAATTTTTTATTCGGATTGCCAATGGATTGGATAATGTGGTTATCCGAGTTACACTATGCATTTATAGGTCATACTGCCTGTCTTCTTATATTAGTCGATAACGATCTCGAAATTATATCCAACTAAATCTGGCTCTTTACAGTAGACATAGATATCGTCATCGTGTTGCGAAGCGCAGACTCGGGTCCCGGTAACCAAACGCAGACCTCTATCATGTAGTTCACCCTATCTAAAGTACCTTTCCAAAGTAATTAGTATAGGTATAGATGATCTTTTGTCCCCGAGGGGAGGTGTAAAGATTATTTACGCCACTAGCTGTAATCCAAATTATTTCGAAATAATAGAGCAGTGTCGTTCATTTAGTACTTACCCCTGGGGGTATACTGCGAGCTGCAGAGCCATGTGTGGTAAACATCTCGATAGTTGACATGTTAAGCAAATCATATCTAATTCAATTAAGACTATTTATAGATTAGGTAGCCTAAGCACAGCTCGACATTTAAGTTACGGATGTACTAAACAATATCTCGTGCGATACCAAAGTGGGAATTTAGTCGTAAATACTAAATGAACGATTCTTCTAACATTACTATATTCAAAGCTTAAAAACTAGGGTGACTGTTTATAGGAAACAATTTTTTTTTCTTATTTCCAATACTATGTTCCTATATATAGATTTTTTATTATTGTTTTAATCAATTTTCCAATATATATTTTGGGACACTGTTTATATACATTGGTGTTACACCACGTGGTTTAAAAAATGAGGAGACAAAGAGAGAAAGGAAAGATTGAAGTCGCTACTGCCTGCGGTGTCTCAGCTGTAGCCTGGTGGTAGCGGTAGCAATAGTAAGATGTCACTCCTCGTGCCCACGGAATGTCACAAACTGAACGTAACAGCAATACGGATAGACTCCACCACGTAACAGCAATCGATTGAGTTTAGTATTACAATTAAGGTGTGCGCAGGCGTGGCCTGAGTAACCCGCGTTACTCTGCCCCGCGTGTTGTATGTGTATGTAATGTAGGTTAGGTTATTGTGATGAGGCCCTGCAGGCGCCCTGCCTGCGGGCGAGACACTGGGACACTCGGCGCCAGCAACACTCCCAGCTCACCGCCGCCGAGCTGCTGCGACAGACGGCCAATGTTTCCTCTTACTATTAACTATTATTAAAATAGAATATTTTGAAATTGCCATCTGACAATTTTATTAGATTGTTTTGTATTCAATACATTTTGGATTCTGAAGTATGTGTTTTATTTACCACAATACATCCATTATTTTTACCTACAACGACAACATTAACAGCACAAGGGAAAACGCATGATTTGACTACTAACTTGATGAAAATTTACGCACAAAATGAAACGGCATGGTTAACTTACAATAAAATTTATTTTTATATACACAACTAAATAAATACCTTACTCTAATGGTAACATAAAATACCATAAACTTAAGATATTATTATGAATACTAGTTTATGAGATTAGCTGAATTTCATGACAATTGTTTTACAACTAAGTACAAAATATGAAAATTATAAATCAGTCTTATTCATAAGATTTTTCATACACTAAGGTGCGAATATGACACAAAAAAATCGATTAAACTTTTATTAAATATATTAGCAGATCTGATTTAAAGTTATTTCGTCGTGCAGTATCATAAAAACGTAGAATCGAATAGCTAACATTACAATGCTGATCGTAGCGTACGGTCCCTGGTACAATATCGACTTCAATAGAGAAAAAATAATAATTCATACAATTTATCTATTAAAGGTAAATTCAAAAGGTAAAGGTAATTTCTCAAGAGAAAAAAATCATAAGCAAGCAAGCTCGTAGGGACGAGCACCTTACTGAGATACATCCTTCCCCCGAGTCTCCTTCAACTCCTACTGTTGCGAATCTCCACTCAGGCCAGCCAATTAAGGCAAGAATGAGGTGGGAGGGCTTGTTCTTCATCAGTGTTCACTCCAGCTCGTCACGAGGACTAACCGGAGGTGAAAAACAAGACACCTCCCGGGAGTCAGGTCCGTGGGGTCGCCACTGCCCAACAGCTCGCTACAAGCTGCCTTGCGGATGTATATGTCACCGGAAAATAACAAGATCCGTAAGTTTATCAATTTACTAGGAAGTCTATAAACTTTCGTAAGATTCTAAACGGGAGATAAAGTGTAATATTTTACGTCCACATTTTCGTAAATTGATAAACTTACTGAACTCACTCGTAAAATAATAAGTAAGCAGTAAGCAAACGCTACGCGCGATCTGATTGGTTGGTTGGCTGTCACGTGTCACTTCTTCCTCGCGGCCGCCATTGCTGGCCACGGAACTGTATTTTAGCAAGTAACTGTTAAATAGCTTATTGAAACAGTTAACAGATAATAGAAAACTCAACTCACTACATCCGTGGCAAAGAGGAACCAGGTATTGTTGCTTCCAATTTATAGTTTGTCCAGTCTGATTATTTCAAAGTCTATGGACACAAGCATTGCCACTATGAACACTGACCAATCAGAGAGCAGCGTGTTATTTTACGTATTTCAAAGATCGTGTAATTAAAAGAGTTTCTGTGATTGGTCGAACCATATAAAATCTTACGAAAAGATATTCGTTAGTTTATAAATTTACCGTATGACGTCGGAAATTGATAATTTTACGAAAACGTGGACGTAAAATATTACAATTTATCTCCCGTTTAGAATCTTACGAAAGTTTATAAACTTCCTAGTAAATTGATAAACTTACGGATCTTGTTATTTTCCGGTGACATATACATCATTATTATTAACATGTTATTGTCTTAACTATCTAGTTATCTATTTGCAAATGAGTTTAATGTAGCCGGAGAATTGAGCAAAATGAGAAGTCGTGGAATATAATATCTATAAATGCAGTAACTTTGTAAGTACCTAGATACCTAAAAATATATTATTTCGGGTATTGAAGAAACAAATATAAAGTTCTTATATTAAATAGTTGAGTACTGGAACCAATAAAACAGGGTCTACTAGCAGGCCATACTATGAAACAGGACCTACCTAGAAAAATATTAATAATTAATTATCAATAGAAAACACAATACAACGATAGTCAACATGTACAAAAACTTTGTGGTTTTTTTTTTCAATTAAAAAAATTGTTTAACAATAGTAATTTTTGTGGTCTGAACAGCACCTGTAACTTCTTGTGTCACAACCACGGAATAAATACAAAGAGAAAATAGCCTAAACACTATCCCCCTTATTTCAAAACAAGGGTTTACCGTAACCTTTGAGTCAGGTTTTGTATTTTGAATTGAAGGTCACCTTGGTGAAGGGTCTCACCTTCACCTAGACTCCTAGACTAAAGAAAAACCTTGTTTTGTAATTAGGCCGTATGATTTCAAATAGGTCCTAACATGATTCCGGTAGGCGTTGCTTGGTGGTACCAATTCGAGTTGTAAGTATTTAACTTGCATAAGTATTAGGGTAAATGCAGGTTCGGATAAAATATAAAAAAATGTATTTCATGTTATTATTATATTATAAGTAATGGCTTTGTTTTTATATTAACTAAGTATTATTAGTTAATTAAGTAATAGCTTAATATTTTCTATATGTAATCAGTCGTATTAAGAATCGTCTTCTTACATTCCCTTAAAATGAGCTACTACCGCGTTGTAACTGTGAAAATTATCCAGCTTGCTGCACGGTCGTAGTAACTGGAAGAGTCTGAGTGGCGACGCTGAACGAAGTGATGAACACATTGACAATAGTGATGAGGAAGATGCCGATTACCGTCATGTTATTTATTTTGTCCGCCTTGCAGCGTTCCTTCTGGTCGTTCACGTCGTACCGACTGTTCATGATGAGTCCCACGCCGACCATGATCTGAAAACAATAAGGCATAGGTAATGTCGAGAGATGATCTTCCAATGCCCGACCAGAACTAGAACTAGACCCGAGCGTACGGCGCGCGCGGCACGCAACGCTCAATTGGCTCTTTGAGCCAGAAGATTTGAAGAAGAAGAGTACTCGTAGAAGGAGGCTAATATAGAGCTGATGGTCAACCGGGTTTGCGGGGCAAGCGCAATGAGGCACCGCGGCCTCTGCCTAAAGTAAGAGAAGTGTCGGCCCAACCAGAGGGATACCACAGGCTCACAAAATACCGGCATGAAACAAGACTTGCGTTGCGTTTCGCTGTATGAGTGAGGTTACCAGACCGCCAATCCACTCCCACCCCATCCTCAATCCCCAAATATTCTATTCTTAAATCCTTCTCCTTCTGTCCTTAATCTTGGAGTCCCTTTGGTGTTACGAGTGTACATGGGCGGCGCCAATTGCTTACCATAAGCTGATCAGTCTGCTCGTTTGCCGGTAAACTGTAGTAATTATTTTAAGAGATATGTCCCTATATAAAAAACTCTCTAAGATCAGTTTGTTGAAGGCCCACTCAGCACACTAGTACGGTCTCCTGAATGGGAACCTATCAAGTTCCCGTTATAATGTAATCGTTAGAAATATAAATATTAGTGCCCCTACTTGGAAGATGATGCTGAGAGAGATGAATGTGAGGCTGGGGTAGTAGTACGGATGTGTGGAGGCAGACTCCAGCACGTAGCGCAGCTGGTTGGCGTTAGCTGATAGCAGCGCCAGGTCCATCATACCCTGCGCTAAGTTCTTCTTCTGCTGGTATGTGTTCACATTTACATCGGGGAGAGCCTGCAACGACATATAATGATATTGAATATATCTATAGCAAATTCTTATGTATCCTGGATAAAACGCAATTAAAAAACAACAGTCATTGAAAATACTTACAATGGCAGAAAATGGTGACACGGGTCGAGACTCGCCAAATCTTGCTGCAAGATCGTTGACGTCTGCAAATATAATATCTTTATTGTAATAACTTATTGACTAAGTATTCGTTAAGTTCTAAAAGTACCCAAGTAGTGATGCCCTGGCCCAGTGCTTGTCTACAGAGAATTGAGATGTAGAATCCTAAGCTGAGGACCTAGAAAACCGGCGTGAAACAATTAGGTACAGGTTTGTGTTTCACCGTGTGATTGAGGTAACCCGACACCCCCTAAACATATTATATACTTTATATACTGGCAACACACTTGCGACTCTGGTTCTGGTGTTGTGGATGTCCAATGAGTATGCTTCTTCATGCAGGTTTTAATTTCATGCAAATTTTGGTCAAACTCGGATTCATTCGACTTCTAAGGAGATAAGTTCCTTTTCTCTGTACCTAATCGCATCCAATAGCGGTCAATGCAATGCTGACGTTCCTACCATGTGCCTTTTAGGAACTACTATTGGGAAAGAATAAGTAGTTGTCTGACGGCCAAACTGTATAGATTGTGTTAGTAATCTCTCTCAATTGTTAATGTAATCAATAACCTATTAAAATATTTTAGGTAAGGTAATTAGTTTGTGCTAGAGTGTAGTGATCAACTAAGTGTAGTGACCTGCTGTGTCGGCTATTTCTACTTAGTCAGAAGTAAATTTAGACACAGGCCTAATTATATTTTCGACAGTTCCACATAATCAAGCTATGGGTTTGACTGTGAGATACTATACTATGGACCAATATGTAAAGATATGTCGGTATGTAAGTACATATATAGGTATATCGTCTCGGATGTAGATGAATCTACTTAACTCCACACAAGACACAATGTGTTTTCTATTATGTCTTATAAACCGGCAGTCAAGTGATTAATGTTATGTATGTGTATAACAATCATTGTAATTTGGAAAAGATTTTTTAAGGTAGTAAACCTGAGGTTCAATCGTTCTGCCACGAGATGGCGGTTAATTAAAATTCACGTTGTATTCAATAAATGCTTTTTTAGAAATATTTGAAAAGATTGCAATGTCGAGAACGTAATAAAGTGTTATGTGCCAGTCACCGTAAGGATGGTCAGTCTCGTCATGCCCCGAAGACCATTTACCGTCAGTGGCAGCGTCGTCGCCGTACATCGAGTGTTTGTCGCTGGGGTCCAGCTCCGAGTGGCGTTCAGTGTCATCTGGAACGAAGGAATAAAACACCGTTTATTAGAAATTCAGATTCAGTTTCGATTTTCAATTATATCCCTTTTATAACAAAGTTAAAAATCTATTGAATTTGGTTGATTGGCCAGCCGTCAGCTACGCCGTAGCTCGTAGCACCTAGTCTATGCTTTTGCTGAACCTACTTACCTATCAAGAAATTAATTGGAAATTTAAACGAAAGTTTGTAAGGACATGAATATTTTTTACTCTTTCACATAAAAACTGTTGAACGAAACTGAATGAAATTGAACACAGAGAAAGATAATAGTCTAGGCGAAGCACATAGACTCCTCTTTCCATGGTAGGGCAGGCGAGGCCGCTGGCAGAAATTGATTTGATGTATTTTAGTAAATTTAGGAAAAACACAATAATTTTACTTTCCTATATGATTGTAGTTACGACTAGGAGTCTAGAAGCAGAATAAGAAGTAGATAACACTATTGTAGGTAAGTATTATTTTAAGTTTTGTTTCCAAAAACCGAACAAATTGATGAGAATTTCTGAATTTCAATATCAGCTGTTGCCGGCGACCACATCCTTTAGTGCGATGGCGGGTGGCGGTCAATGATAATATAATTGATGACACAATCATATCGCGGGACATTGTTCCTTATCTGTGGTCTGAGCTACTTCGCATGAGACCCCAATTTAAAGAGGTCACAATGAGGTGTATTGATAACATTGTGTATTTAATTTGTTTCAAAAATTGTTATTCGCTTATATTGCTTGGGAATGACACGTTCGTTAAGAAGACAAACATTTAAGTAGGTACTTGTGACATATGATCAAAGTCAAAGTCAAAATCAATTTCCAACGTAGGCAACTTTTGAAACTAGGCGTCAGTCTGTTCGGTGTTCGTCAGTAAAGCTAGGTGCACGTTCCAAAGTACTTATAGATTTGAATGAAGTAGAACGTCCATTAACGATTGGTTAAATATTAAAAAATGGCTAATAGTTTCGTGAAAATCTATTTTAAGGAACGGGAGGAAAAAGGTGCGTGTTTGCGTGTGCGCACATGTTCTGTACCGAGATATACGTAGGTACCAGTTGTCCGAAAACCAGTCCAGATTCCGCGCTATTCTGAGAATCTCCATACGCAGAATATCCGGGTTGGACAGTAATTGCTGAAATCTTACATAACCAAACGTTGATTAACTCGCACGTTTCGAAACTGGTTAGTTAATTTATAAGTCTTATTTAGCTATGTATTATTTATCGAAAAATTAAGAATATATGAGAGACCGCTTCGCCGTACTTTCTATTGATTATTTAGACACCATTGGCAAACGAGAAAACATCGTCTGGAAACTGGGACTTATAATTCCTAATTATAAGTTTTGAGCAAATATTAATTGAGCAAGCGTTTGAATAATGCTCAAACTTTCTCCGTGTAAGAAGAGACCTTAGCTCAGTAGTAGGCACTTACAGGTTGATGATGATCTTGATTTGTTGGATTTTGTTATACCATAAGTAAGTAAATAAAAACTTACCATGATCATGGTCGCCCGGCTTCTTATCCCTGGTATTCAACAAACTGACATCGGCACCAGGGAACGGAGCGGCATCCTTCGGTGGGTCTCCATCTAGCTCGTCAGTCTCAGGACCTGGACAGCGAAGAAAACATTCCATGAATAATAAAGAAACTCGTTTAAATTAAACGATTATTTTGTTATAAAAAAGAAACTACACACAAAGTGCAATATTTTTGAATACACATCTGATTCATTTACAAAATTAAAGTCTAGTAACGTTACATCTGGTTCAAATGAGAAGAATCTCGGTTTACTGACCAGCTAAAGGAGGAAGCTGCCCTCCTCTTCTCTCTAAGAGGGGCTGCCTGGGGTGATCTAGGTCAGTATCGCTGCCGTTGTTGTTGTTGCCATTCTGCGAAATGAATATTAGATATTTTAATTAATTATTTAAAGTTTGGAAAAACAAACTTAATACAATATTTTTGAAGTCGACATTCGTTTTAAGCGGATAAAGTGAATATTCCGCTTCTGCAATTCTATTGATTTGATTCTGACAGTTCAGAAATAGGCATATAAGCCATTAGACTATAAATACACTTCATTTTAGACAAATAACTCAAAAAGCAGAACATCATATTAAGTAAATTAAATAAACAAATACACATAGTTCATATAAAGTGTGACATGACAAGCATGAAGAGGAAGTATTTACTATGCGCAATGTGATAAACAGGTGCAAAGAATCATTACCTATAGTACATGTGAGGTATATGCATAACTCTTTATAGGTACAAGTGATACTATACGGCCTTACAAGAAAAACCATTTGTTTGGCTGCGTGTCAGTTAAGGACCAATCTTTACCCACTACCCATCCTCAATCTCTAATTCCACTAAACTTCATGTAAATCTTAATCCCTGGCCCAAAAGCCGGGCAAGGGACTTGTACAATATTGTTGACATGTTGTTTTTTTTCTTTTCCTATCCTTTACAGCTTTATGTAGCTGTTTACTTAACGTTTTAAATAAAAAAACAATTGAAAACGTTATGTCAATTTAAAGTTCAATTTAAAGAAGACGTAACATAGAAAAAGATCATTAAACAACCAATTAATGCAAGTAATGATAACTCGTCATTTGAAAACCCAGGTTGACAAGATTTCTTGTAATTAGGGATGGTAGAAGGCCAAGTTCCAAGCAAATGGCATAAGACCAATAGAATCTGGGAACTACAGCAGTTGGTCCTTGCTAAGTGCATAGTGATTCATTATAATATCAGAGTACAAGAGCGAGGTTCACTTAAATAACGTCACAGTTTTTTAAACTTAATTTATTTAAGTACTTTGAAGTTGGACGGGGTTTTCCCAACTTTGATGCCAGAGAAATCATTATTCATTAAAATTATGTTGGTTACTTATAAATTATTTTATTGCTACTAAAGATAAAAAATATCTTTAAACCACATGAACGGTTTCAGCGTCCGGGATTTTGTTTTACCCTTTTTATGTGAGCATTGGTAATTGTTTACCTACTGTTGTCCGAAGGTGGCTTGTTCGTCCGCAAGTCACTTAAGAGGCCAGTAGAATACCAGCGCAAGGCCCTTTCTTGCACATTCTGAACTGGTCCCGTTTCACCGCACACTTGGGACACTAGCAGGTAGGTAGTCTATTAACTGTCTGTATAGAATCTTATGTGTCACATGTTTTAGAGTGTGAAATAAAGTTTTTTCTTTCTTCTTTCTCTTCCGTTCTTTTCTTTCATTGATTTATTATTCGGAACCTGAGTTGAAGTATACTATAAAACCAAGTTTTTTAAAGCAAATTTATTTGTATTGATAGACTCAGTCTGTTTGCTTTCTTCTTGCTTAGACGAAACGAGAATGGCATCCGTGCCTTCAAGGTCTCTCAGTTAAGATATGCGTATTCAGATAATAAAATAAAGGCTGGGCAATGTTTAAATTGCCTTGTATTGAGAGACTGACCTACTGAGACGAATTCTATATCCGCAAAGCTGGCGTAAAGGCCACTGCCAACCCTGGGGGAATATTGTGGTGCCCACCTAAGGGAAGCAATAATATAATATCAAGTGTCAGTTTTTTGCAAAATAAACTCAGTTTAAGAAATTTGTCGCTCTCTAGAGATAACGAAATGGAAGTAAAATTATTAAAAATTATATCTCAAAAAAAGAGTGACTCTAACGATATCGTGAGTTAGTTCTTCGATAGGATTTCCAAGGGAAGCAGGAGACTCCTACTCCATACTCTAGACCTTTGGAGCACCTATGAATTTGTCGTTTGGTCTGGGACACTATGGCATAAAGTACAGGAAAACTTAAATGTTTATGTAGCCATACTAGCCATAACAAATATTCGAAAAACAAAGACGAACTTGACTCACTCGACTGTAAGACAGCAGTTCTACAGATTACAATTAGCTGAAGAAAATAAAACAGAATAAGCATAATTTATTATTACGTGTGATGTAAAAATAGTCTAGACAAAACGTTAACTCAATGAGATAAACGTTCTTCTAGACTTTACATAATAACTAATGTAAACAGTTTTTTACACGCACAAAACACTCTCTGTTCATGATTTTTCGTTGATTTAAATGGTTGCTTATAAATAGACTGCCTTGTTTTATGTCTTATGGTTTGGCAGCGATAGAAATATGCTGAGTCATAAGTTTAGATTAAAAAATACGATGTAATAGCTAATCCCCGTGTTGTGATCTTGACCGTGACCGACCTGTACCAGCGGCCTTCTCTCTCCCACAATTCGGGAATTTGGGATTGACAACCAGCAGCTGTTAGAATAGCAAAGATTTTCTAAAGTTAACTAAAAAATCATCAATCAAGATAAACTACGATATATTTGGTCTGTACGTACGATTGTACCGGACAATAACAAACAGATTACATCATACGTGTTATAATTATAGTTGCTAGGGACAGTACATTTCTGCGGATGTGTCAATGACATCTGATGAATCACTCGGAAGATAAATGTACCTACCTAAACAAACAGAATTCCCATAGTCCACCAAACGCTTTATTATACAGAAGCTAAAGACCTACGATCCTGGTCATAATATAAGGACACCCGTTAATAAACGCATTGGGAATAGTTACTAACGTTAATCTGGGATTTGCCATTTATACACGGGGTTCTGTTAATTGTCAATTCGCGCGCCTCAAAGAACCAATACACCATCACACAGATGGGGTCCTACAGGACCGATGTTAAGCCGGGGTTGCGGGTAATAAAGTACCGCGCCCCCGGTCTGGAGCAGGATAAGGAATGGAGTTGTTTTTGTTCAGTAAGAGTCTGACACTTAATCTCGCCTAACTGAGCCAGAAAAATCATTTAAATGAATTCCCAACCTCAAAAAAGCACTCGGCATCTGGATTTCTTGCTTGATTTCAATGAAGATGGACAAGTAGACTCTAATAATTAATAATTATGTTGATAAGGTACTTGCCTAACTGAGTCTAATTTGGAGTACCGGGTTACCGCGCGGTGTCAACTGTTAATTGGGCTATTACCCTTGACCAACTAATTCTGACCTAAATGTACCTATTGTATATACATATTTTGTTAGTAAACATGTAAGTTATCAAATTACCTAGTCTACGACTAATTAGTTTCCAATTAACAAAGACTGTAGCGAGGTCGAAGGTACGAAATCTGGGAGTTTCCTTTGTTTTGTCAATTTTTTTAAATGTTATGAATGTTGCGTTTTTAATCACCTCATTGCGTATACCTACATAATTATGTCTGCTAAATTTTTGAATGCGGACTATCGTCATATGTTTTTCCCTGCTGTAAAGCGAGGGGACATGTAACACCCTACTGACTAAAAATGACTCCTTGTTTCAGATAGGCATGACATATGATTCTTAGTTTAGCACTAGAAACAACGAACAATAAGTACTAGACGGTATTTTCAAAATTTGATTTTTTCCCGAGCTTTTTAAGGGCATATGTACTTACTAATACTAGAATGACTTGTTATAACAACCACCAAATCTTTAGCTCTTATAACTCTTTGTTAAGACAAAGACTATTAAAACACATGCTAATTGTAATGATTGTTCACGAGAACTCCGGATTACGTCACTGACGCCTACTATATGATACCAAAATGTATGGCTTGGACCCAAAATAAGTGTGGCTTGCCCTTGACCATGCCCCCATACCACTTAAATCAAGTTGAAACTGCTTGAACGCGGCGAGAATGCAACAGAATGAACGAGTTTCGCAAATAATATTTCGCCAAAAAGACACTGGGATGACCTTATACTTAGTCTGTGTCTGGATTATGTTAAATAATTATTAAAATAGTATTGAAGTGTATATTTTTTTAAGTTTTAATTTATTATAACTTAATAATAGGCGAATGGCAGACCATTTGGGGGTGAAATAGTTAAGTTTTTATATAACAGTTCGGCAAACGAGCAGACGAAATACCTGATGATAAATTTGATGGACACCCGCTACAACAGAGAATTTACGAGTGCCTTACCGATCTTTTGGGGATTAGAGTTGGATTTAGTGATTGGAGAGGGATTTGAAGAGGGGAGGGGTTGGGCCTCCGGTAACCTCGCGAATCACAGCGCTGTGGTTGTTTCACGCTGGTTTCCTGTAAGGCCGTGGTATCACTCCTGTATAGCCGACCTATTGGTACCGAAGCATGGCTACCCACAGTTAAGTTACGAGGCTATTTCAATATGTTATTTTAATTTCTACGTATGTATGTATTTTTTGTATGCATGACTATGAAGGCTGTAATGAGAGGTGTTAATAAAATGATTCAATAGTGTAGGCGGAGGATATTGACCTCTTGCTTATAGGAAACTTATTCTGACTTTGACCTTCAAAGCGACAACAGATTTGTCTAAAAATGTCTATATCATTAAAGTAAATAATTATAACTTTAGTTGCTCTCATAGTATTAGATCGAGTTTATGTTTAGTGCATTTTGTTGTCAGGTGAAGTTGCTGGAGCGTGCATAAATATAAATTTCAATTGCATGTGTTAAATATCTAGAATTTTTCATATTATGATAAATGATCCTACTGTACCCAACACAAAAATATTAATTCGAATCAAACAGTCCCTAGTTTCAAAGATAGGCGTGTTCAAACAAAGAAGAGAGAAAGGCAAAAGTAAAATAGAAGATGGCTTCTGTTTTATAGGTATTGAAGCTATTTGCTAATTCCAAGGAATAAACAAGAGACTTGGTTGAGTTCAAGTTGATCTAAAGTACCTACCTAATTAATTTTTGTATGATGAGTAGGTAGGTAATCGCAGTTCACAACAACGAGACTCATAACAATTTAATATCTAGGAAATGAAGTAAATTTGTTGAAAATGGTTCCACATTGCCATCCTTGTAGTGATTTTACACAAAACA